AGTGACAGTGTATACGAGTATAAAACATTGTAACAGTGCAAGTGATAGAACTTAGTGCACGTTGAAGAACAACTGTCCCGACACGGGCAAAGCCATTCGAAGTGTGCTCGTGACACTTCGCGATATCTTACCCCGGAGGCTGCCGTCAAAGAAATGGTAAACGAAGTTCTCTCGACTTAAGTGCGAAACTGCAAATCGTGCTTCAGCGAAATCAACCATTACAATGGCAAATTTAGCAACAGCGATAAGAAAATAAACTTAAGGAATTGCAACCGTCATAGCAGGCACCATCTCTGGCTTAACTGGCATACTCCAACTAGGGAATAACATGTGATGACAATAGGGTAAACGCAGTAAGATAGTCACCAAGCAAATAAAACGGCTTGTGCAACACACATCTTTCTCAATAGGTACATCCCACAAATGAGCTGCAATCATTGTGCTTGTTAGTAACAATTCTAAATTCTCATCTAATTTACTCCAAATTATATTTTACACGTTCCAGTTAAAAGTAGATTTCATGCTTTTTCATTTAGTTAACTAAATATGATCATTAATTCCATGAAAAATTGTTGATTATCACTATGTTTATTGAATGCGTGCAATTAAAACCTAATCGTGCAATTAAAAGTCCACAATAGCCAAACAGAACTCAGAAAACTGATCGACATCGTTTCACTGGCCTAGGTTTAAAAAAAGTTCGATGTTTAAATACTTCAACGGTTTTTTATAGGAATTGATCACGCTGAACTTTAGTTTTCCTCAATCACTTCTGGTTTTTGCGCTATGGATCCTATTGGTATTAAGCATATTGTTTTTACTATTTGGACATTTCCTGTTTATAAAATAACTAGATAACAGACGTGACAACAATACATTGCATAAGATAAGTAATAAGTTAATAAAATAAAGATAGTTTCAGCGCAATCTTTGTTATTAGAAAATATATTTTAAAAACATAAATATTGTGGAAAAAATAAATACTTTCTTACTTCTATTCAGTATGCATCCCTCGTGAGTAATGTATGTGTATGACCGAAATAAATGTACCTATTTCACATTTCCTTTATCATATTTTAAAGTTTTTTCATATAGGCCAATTCATTTTATAAAAATGCTGACTCTTTATAAAAACGCCTTTCGTCTATGTGCGGATCCAGGTTCATCTCTTTTCAGACACCAACAAACTTCAGCCATCATGTTGATGTCCCAGAGTCCTTGATACCTATCTTCCATCAACCTAGTCCTGGTAGAACCTTTGTCCTTGTTCTTCACTACAATCCCCACAATTGTCTGAAAAAAAATTGAACTCATAAAACGCAGTTTCATAGACATGCTAGATTCTTCAAGCTATTCAGTAGACTTCGAATGATAGATTAATAATAGTTCCTTTCTAAGAAATGGTTTTGAAGTGACTGTAAAATCAAGCCAAACTTTCCTTTCTATTTCAGTCATAGTCTTTTCAAACTCGGGATCATTCCTCAATCTTGTAATTTGGAGGTCATCAAAAATACCTGCATTCAATTTTGCCTCAATGAAGTGCGGAAATATCTTCACTGTGTAAAGAAAAACTAAAGTCTGTTTGTTCCTTGCTTTAACGATATTTTTCATTAGCCCATACTTTTATGTGGATAGGTGGGAGTAAAATGTTTTGTGGGTCAATCAATGGGTTGGCAATAATATTGTTTATACTGTGAAACTTTTGGAGATAGCCATTCATGTTATGTAAAATTTTTCGAGTTTGCCTGACTATCTTACAAACAAAGAAAACAGATGTTTAGTGTAACCTCCTTGTATTCCCAATAATAGCGAAATAACCTGTAAAAAATGTTAAGCACATTACATTTTTTTCGGGGCGTGTTTTCATCTTCATCAGTAATTTATACTGTAAAATGTTCACATTTTTTGCATTTTCATTCATGTTAATTGATGAAATTTATCTTTAACATGTACTATAAAACTCTAGGAATTAAAACATCTGTCTAAAAAACAAACAAGCAAACATTTCATATTAGCAATAAAATCTAATAAAGAATACAAATGTCAAAAACATATATTGAATTGGTTTGTAGAGGAGAAACTGGACCTGATGCGAAAATTAATATTGCAGATTTGAAATCAGCGCGAAAACAGATAAAAAGCAAATAAAACATTACAGACATGAAAAATGCCGCAGACTAGTGGTATCTATAACAAACGTAGCCAAGGTATTTCCAGTCGACCATGAAACAATTACAAACATCTACATCACAGATTACGAACATCAAAAACATAAAATCAATTTACGAAAGTCACAACATTATAACCGAATAATTCATACTACTCCTTAGACAATCATGTGATATAGACGTGTAATATAAGTAGTTAAATTACAAACTATTATCCCACTCATACTTGACATCAGTCACCCTAACCAAAAAGTTGCCTTTCATTGCACAGATACGTTAACTTCACCTATTTGAACGTGACGGCCCAGAGAGAGCAGTTATTTTGGCAAAACTCCTTTACTTTTTAGAAAATCTAGTGAATTGTTTAATATAAAATATAGATATTCTCCTTTACACGCCACGTCTTCAACATAAACAAGTATGACATAAACATGTTGGTTTGACAATAGCTAACTAATGAAACAATTTAACATGAATAAATGTGTTACGTGTAAAGTATTTCGTCTTAGTATATTACAAATATAAAATGTAATCGTCAGTTGTATTTACCTGCTCTGAAAAGTACACCAGCAAAACTTCTGAGTCAGAACTGAATCGTCTTTTACCTTCCCAACATTAACACGTGTTGTTCTCCCATGCATGCCCTTACTTTTCGTATGAAGTAATGTTTTCATAGCTTTGTCATCTTCTTCTAATATTTCAACCGGAATACGTTAAATATTTTTCATTTTAAAACATTTCTTATTTCATACACTATTCTCTAATACACTAAGGCGATCATAAATATACCCTTCAAAGCCTACTATCTTGTTCAGAACTGAGATGATGTCATACTCATCAAATACATGGTAAACACTAGCTGAACCCCGTAGACGGTGTTCTGCCCTTCATTTCCGATTTTCTCTCGCTCTCGCTCTCCCTCTCTTCCTTTTTCCACCCCCCTCTTGCTATCTCTCTCATACACATTTAATGGCGGATTCTACACGCCTTTGAGCAGGTGGGGTAATATCGAGAAGCGCCGGACCAGCAAAAATGTAATAGACATTCAAGAAGATCTCATCCTGTAGATTACAGAGTTAGAAATGTTTATTTGAGTCCTTTGGTCTCAAGAGTTCAGTTTTAAATGCCGTAGAAAGCTTTGTTTATGCGATGTTTTAATATGCTTGGTTTAGGCGATATTATTTTTTTAAACACTGTTTTCGTGAATAATTTAATAGTTATTTTGCTATTCGGGGTGAAGATGAATCTAACAAATCAGAGACAATTGAAATTGGTCCTGCCGTTCTTGTGTAATAAATGGTGTAATAACTAACACGACTTTGTTTTATAAAGATATGATTAAATTTCTCAAAGTAAAAATTTTTCTTTAATGGACACGAAAAATGTATTGAACGTAACACGTGTATAAAGGGGTATAATTGAACTCATGATAAATGAGAAAACTCGCTCCTATCGTCGCTCGTTTTCTTGTCCATATCACTCATGCAATTATACCCTCATTTATACACTCGTTTCGTTAATTACTGTAACAGAAGAACTTGAAGTCAACATAGTTCCTTTAAGAAAACTTCTTTTAATGATTCTTGCACGTTGCCCGGAAAAGAACGTGTCAGTAATTTGTAAAAACATGCCACCAAATATTTCTTAAAACGCTATATTTGATTAATTAAATTCTCAGGGTTACGAACCAAAAGAGTGAACAGTTTATACAAATAACGATCACTAATTTTTTTTGTGACTATTTTTATAAGACTCAAAGGAAAATAAATAATCCATTTCAACAATTCTTACACTGCGTTATCAACGTACGAGGCTAGAAGAAGCCAACCTGGACCAATGCAATGCCTGAATAGTCAGGATTTTGGTCATACTAAAAACTATTTGTCACCGACCTTACCGCGTAAGATATACAATCTTGGTCGCAGTGTCCATTATCTAATAATTTACTGCCGAAATTTGTTAACAGCGTTCCCCTAAATCTGCAAGCAAATCACAGAGAAAAAGCGCGAGACTCTTCGTATTATATCCTTAACATCCAAACGTAATATGCTATACCCCTCTTCCCAACGGCCAGCAAAATTAGCTGCATTTACCTTCAAGTTCTCCAGCTGTATCACCGATCCTTCTCTCCCTACTCATCCAGAGACACTGTGGTGGATCCCATGTGTTAATTACCAATAATACGAATGTATCTGGCTTGCAAAATTGAATAACATACGCGCAATCTCTGAAAATCTCCCCTACCAAACAACCAACTTCCCCCATGACTCTTGACATTCAATATGACTTAATTTTATACATATTTCATTTTCAAACATCATTGAACAGCTATTGACTAATTGACTACAACAACGTGAACCACATAATCCATGCTCTTTTGAAAATGTTAGGAAAACTTACTAGCATACCACCCTTAATGTTTTAAACTTTCTACAAACCACAATGCCATTTCTCGCCCCTTTATCCCCCCCAGTAATGACAATGACGATGCCACTCCTCAAATGCCAACATCTTAAACAAATCAATCACTGCAAGAGCCCTACTGTTTAACCGCAAATGTAAAGTTGTCCAATAAATGGTGTGTACTATGATTGTGTTTTGTAACTCTGAAAGTGTCACGTGTAAAGCTCTAGGACTGATCAGTGAATAAAAATAAATTTAACAAATAAAATCTTGGTAGATCATAACAAGTTGGGAGAATTGAGGGGTGACCTTTTACGACGTGAATGATCGTGACAGTATAAAAAAAAAAAGAGTTGACTAGTGGTCACGTGACACGTTTCCGCGGCTGGTGACGCCCTGAACCACATCCTCCGCTATCTCCCGAGCGAAATGAAGAAATCTGATCGTGTGGCCGCAGTTGCAACGTCGTCCGATGGTTCATCGCCTCTCAGTCGCTGTCGTGAGCAGGCGCTTCAGCCTGCTTCAGAGGTCTCCTGTAGACATGAAGTGCTAGCGCCGCCCAACGTCTCCTCTTACAATCTTACAACTTTATTTTGCAGACGGCAGAGACCTCGAACACAAGAGGGAATCATCTATCTCGTGTTCTGCAATCTTCTCGTCCTGCCCAACATCTAGAAGTTACAGAAATTTTTATGAAAAGTTCGAGATTTTAGCTGCCTCAGACATGGTTGTAATAGTGCCGGATATGCGTTTAAAATGAATATCGTTAGAAAAGACTAGTCGTAAATAAAGGTCTGACTTTAAAAAAATGTGTATTTATTATTACATGATATAATGTTGCGAATTAGACCATTTTTTCATCAGATTATTGCATATTTAATTCGTACTTATCAATTATTAAAATAATATTATAGTGTTTTCTGTAACGAATGATAGATTGGTAGTTTGTCACTGTTAGTACATTCAGTAGAAGAAATGTTTAAGTTCCATGAAATAGGTTACTTGTTTTCTACTTGCATGTTACTGAGTCGCAAACTTTGTAGCTATTATTATAAATGCATGAAAGGTAAGTTTGATTTACTAGTGAAGAGGCCTTGGGGAATCTCCAGTTCTATTCAACCCCAAAAGAAATGAATTTGTATCACGCTTGGTTTAATCTTACGTATATACCGAGTAATATACTTAGTATTGGGAAAGTTATGTATTGCTGCGGTAAATCAATTTCTATATTTAAACAAAAATACACGTGTTGAGGACCCATGATATAGAAAAAGCGTTTTTTTTAAACGTCCGTCCGGCTGTCTGGTGTATGCAAACTACACTAGAGCCTAAACCATGCGAAGGATTTTTTTCAAATTGAAGAATCTCCTGCCCATCCAATGCACTCATAAATGTGGCTTAAGTCATGAATACCTCTCAATTTTCGAAAATTGCAAAAGTTAGCATTTTTTGGGGTCTTCGTATAACTGCAAAATTAAAGATTTCTCCTGCAGATAACACTTGTTTCCCATGATTCGTTCCTTCATTAAGGTCATGTATAAGTTTTGAAAATTTTATTAGTTCTTGCACAGTATTGCGTGCAATTTGTTCAATTTAAAAAATTACAAAACCAAGATTTTCTTTAAAACTGCTGCAATTTTGTTCTTTAAAGTTTTGGTAAAGATTGTGCTAAATGCACTCCAAGAAATGAAATAAACGCCATATTGCGCAATTCTTTTGTTTTTTAAAATATTGCAAAAAATGTATTTTACTTGTCTTTCATGTTGATAATATTTACATTCGCGGCATTTTGTTCATAATATTATATTTATGAATGCATGTGCTTTAATTGAGATCAAATAAAGCTTCTCGAAAATTCAACCGTTAAAAGTAGGTTAAAATTTCGCAATTTCAGAAACTATCAAACGCCATTCTCTCAAAAATGGCTCCAATTGTTTTTTTCAAACTTTTCGAAATGATAGTGTTAATTGCACTCTTATATATGATGTAAAGCTCAATTCGGTTGCTCTTTTCGTTTTAAAAAAAGTAAACAAATGTATTTTTTTAATCTCTCTCAAGGCCGGTAATATACACATTTCTAGCAATTTGTAAACACTATTGTATTTGTGAATTTAAGTCTTCAAATGACTTAGAATGAAGTTTTTCGAAAACTCAAAAATATTCTGTGAAAAAGGGCTTCAATTTCGAATTGACTGTAGCGCTTAAGCGCCATTTTCTTAAGAAAGGCTCCAAATTTTTCAAAGAAGATTGTCATTTAGGGTGCGGTTTTACTGTTCTTTAACATTCTTAAAATATTATTTCCGTTCTACTATTACGAAACTGAAAAATTAAGAACATTTCAAAAGAATGTACTTTGGGCAGCGAAAGATGGCCTAGACGGAAAGAAACAGAAAACTAATACAGGAAAGTCTGTGCCATTCTGTAGCACCACTAGTTTAATATTGTTCTTCTGTCCTCCCTTTTTAATTTACTTGCAATGTCGTCCTTTTGTCCTGTTAATTTAAAATAACACTGGCATAATTTTAAAGTAATTTAATTCATTAAAGGGGCTGTTGTCTTGACTATATGTTTAGTCAAATAAATAGTCTCATAATAGTTCATGAGGTTTATTGTGATATAAAACTTATTTATGCTTATTGTTTGGAGGATAATGAAGGTGAGTGCGGGAGTCCTCACGATTCTCTCTCTGCGATTTGCTGAATGTGTGACAACGCAATTATTCGAATCATAACGGCAAATACGCCATCGTCTGTGCCGTAAGATGTCCTTTCGCGACCGATTTCTTGTAAAGGAAAATGTCGTTTACAATGAATGAATTCAAAAAATCCATTACAAGACGCTTTCATCAGGAAGTTCTTTTAATGAACAAGTTTCCTGCCGTAAAACAGTGCAACAATTAGCTTCTTTTGAGACAGTCTCGAATAAAATAGTTTCCAAATACCCACCGCTAGACAACACTTCACCAAACTTCCGTAGTTACTTGCATTTTCAACAGGTTTCTTCTTATTAATCATTGTAATATTTTTGTACTTACACTTACTTTTGCATAGATACTAAAACCGTTCGCTTCTTTTTTAATTTATGTAATTACTGTATTAATTATTTATCTTTCATTATAATATTAAAGAGGAGAGGCTTTGGAATGTATTAAAATTGCTACCCCAGTCTTATGCATTATTAAAGAAAGTACAAACAAGAGTATTTGGCAAAATTTGTAAACTATAAAGTTTGTGTCTCGAGTAATTAAAACATATTTGCATCGGCAAGCAAACTATAGAGTTCATTATATACTCGCAATATTCCCCCAAAAAATACACAACTAATTATTCCCCCGCGTAGCAAAAGAGAACTCTATGAAAGGTGTTCCATATTTATGTCCAGAAGCAAACAAGGGGACATTACTGCATTTGTTCAATGAATGAAGGAAAACTGTATGTTCCGTTGATGCGCAAAGGACCGCCCCTACCCTTCCTCACGGACCGGAAAAGGTGGGTCAGGCGCTCTTAAACTGGCGTCACTACAGTGCCTCTGATTGAGAGATTCGATTCCCGACGGCAAGACTTCCGACACGAGTTAGATAGTTTGAATTCAGTCACTATCTGGAAGAGAATTCTAGCGACCGACTTCTCTGATCGGTAGTTTTCCGTGGTTTCGCCAATCAATACCAGGCGAATGCAGAGCAATATTCGAACAAACGGGCCATGGACCGCGTACAATCTTTCTCTTCGTTGTCCTATCCTCACCCCTTACTAACACGCACTTATGTACATTACACTACCACACATGTCAGATATCGGTCGAGGGGTTAAACGTGTCGCGGCTGGGGCGGTACCCCAGTGGTGAAAGGTACCTAGTTGGGAAAATCCCGCTAGCCAACAGGAAGGTCGGCATCGGATCTCACCAACCACCGGGGGAAGATCACCACCACTACTTGAAAGAAAGCATCCACAACACGTCCGGGACTAATGACACGCTCACGCGTTCGTTATTACTAATCAATCAATCTTCCTCCCCGTCGCGGACTGTCAGAAACAACGAAGGAAAGAATTCAGTCTTATTTTTAAACCAGAAAGACTCTTCCCAACTACCATTTCTATGAGTTTATTAGCATGTTCATTATTTAATTGTAGCATGTGTCAAGTAAGTGCTGTGAGCCCTATCTCTCGCCGGCTAATGTATGCGAGGGTGCAATTAGAGGCGCTTCTCTTGCTGTCCGCGAGGTCCCAGTCGCGACCCGGTGCCGCGTCGGGTGGCAACGGCGCCGCCGCCTCGCAGGCCCAGGACGAGCCTCGCTTCGGCCTCCCGCGCCGCCTGCAAACAAAGCCGCGCTCGCCGCCCTCCTCCGCGCCCCCATTAGGACGCGCGCCCCACGCCGCATGCAGATGAGGCCGCGCGATTGGATTTTCGGCGCCCGCCCTCGCCTTCGCCCGCTCCCCCGTCCCCACCCTGACCTCCGCCCTCGCCTCCGCTCACTCCCTTTCCCAATCCTTCGTTCTCCGTCCTCGCCTCTCGCCCTCGCCTCTCGCCCTCGCCTCTCGCCCTCGCCTGCCGCCCTCGCCTGCCGCCCTCGCCTGCCGCCCTCGCCTGCCGCCCTCGCCTCCGCATCCGCCTCCCCCTCCTGAACCACCCTCGGCCTCCCCTAGGCTCTCTTCTTTTTCCATTCGCGCACCCTCTACCTCTGCCTTCGCGCTCATCTCCGCTTCCATCTCCCATCCCTCGCCGCCCCTCTGTCCTGCGCGAGTGACTTCCCGCGCCGCGCCGTCCCGTCTCACCCGCCGCGCCTCCCCGCCCGTACGTACGCGCAAGCCTCATTACCGGTCTGCCAGGCAGGTTCGCGCCGGCCAATTCGATCCCTCCGAGCCACGCTGCAGATTGAAATTTCTTTCGCCGGTTTATTAATCGGAGCTCCATTTTCAAGATTTCTACGATTCGCACCGTAGGTATTTAAAGCGATCCCCGCTTGCAGCAATGGATCTTCGTGCAATTTCGCAGTGCAAACGTGACATCATCGTTTGTTATCATGATTCATGCAGCGGAAAGGAAAGGATGCCGGCAAAACGAACATACAACTTACATGGTTCGCAGGTGCCATGGCCACGTAGGTGAAGAATATAGTTGTGATAGTACGGTTTGTACTCTTCCAAGGCTAATTAATTTTAGGTAAGGCGAAACCGTATTTGTTTCTTTCTTTGAGTGTAAATTCCAAATATGCGAACATGAGCAAGCGAGACTTTAGGACATCGAACCTAGAGAAAAAAACAGATTCAGAAAGCCTAATTTTATAATCTTAAGAAATGCTTTATAATGCATTATTCGTACTCTATTCAAGGCTTTAAATTATTCTAAATATCTGAATTTTTCAATACAAAAATTAAAATTTACTTTTTATAATTTCTACTCTCGCGTTAATATTATATAGCAAGAGAAAGTCATTTAAAGCTGCTGAATAAAGTGTCCATTTTTGACAGAAAAATGCGTTTTCTGTCAAGGTCACTAATATGAACTATTCTCGCCCCTTCATGTAGTAAATTAGTTTTTTTAATATACAGTAAACTCAGATTCCACCTTTTAGGGAATGTCAACAAAAAGGTTGTTTCTCCCAAGATATCCGATTAGTCTATCCGCCTGTCTATTATGGCGCAAGAAGCACAAAATTTGCAAATCCTTCATTATCATTGTAACTGTTTAAAACTATGTGCCATGTTTTAGCACCAATAGATTTATTTTTGTATAGGAATGTTCTAAATTAATTGCACTGAAATCTAACTAGACGTCGAGTATTAACCTCTATTT